GTTCTGGCTGCTGCTTCCCTCTGCATGGCCCTTGGTCTTCACCCCTCCTCCAAAGGACACCAGTGGTATTTGACGCATGAGGAGACTGAGGCTCAGACAGATGACTTGCCCAAGGTGACTCAACTAGTAAATGGCACAAATGAGGCTCAGCCTCTGACTGTTCCAAAGTACCTGTGGCCACAGTTGATGTCTTTGGCTCTAAGGAATTGACAAATCACAGAGTTAGGTGAGGAGGCAGCCTGGGTTGTTAAAAGTAGATGGGCAGCCTCTGGCAGGTCTCAAGCAGAGACAGAAGGTATAAAGCCACACCCCTTTGGGGGGGACTGTGGCAGACTGATACTTGGGATGACTGAGGACAGGGGTGGAGCTAGCTGGGGTGGGGGGCAGGAGCCCCAAGAGCAGTATCGAGCATGCGAGCATGCGAGCATGCTGCGGTGCTAGGAGGCAGCTACAGAGGTGAGTGTTGTCTCCCGGAGCTGAGCCCCCTCCATTCCAACCATTTCTGTGCAGTCCCTGCCAGCTGGCACCCTTCACCCCAAGGTGTCCAGGTAGTAACCCTCCCTCCCTCCCTCCCACAGGGCCCCGGCTCACGGAGGGCCTGCATGCACCGGGGGTAGGCCTGCTAGGTGCTAAGACACTTGGGCTATTTCTTGATCTGTCTGTCTCCAGTATCCTGGAGGCCTGTGATGGTTTTCTTGTGTGTGATTCAACCCTCGACTTATTGGGCACTTTCTAAACCATTCGTTAGCCTCATTTTGTTCTCCAGTTTCCCTTTCCTTTTTCTCCTTCCACAGGCACCAGAGCCTTCTCTAAACCTCTGGTGTGGCTCTCTCAACTCGCTGGATGGCAATCTCTAGTCTTCCTCATTCCTTCTCTGTGTGCTAGAAGCTCCAGCCTCGGAGTGATGCCTAGCACCTGCTCTCCCTGCCTGGCTGCCTGCGTAACCTGTCCAGCTGTCTGGGCTCACATTGTGGGAAGACCCACAAGCTTTTTGAGGTCTTTCATGAAGTGGCATCTTACTCATTCATAAATGCCAAGTTTTGTGAGGAAAAGCCCAAGCTGCTCAGTGGGTCTTCCCTGCAAAAGAGCCCGGGGAAGCAGCAACCTTTAAACCCGAGTTTGCTAACTGTACGGGTCCTAGACCCCACTGCTTGCTACCTCTGCTAACTGCCTGGCTCTTGCTCCTTAGGCCCCAAACCTGACCCAATGTGGATGGATTCTCTTCCCGCTGCTTCCCCAGCTTGCCTTTGACTTGGTTTATATGACTCATTCAGGACAGACAGCTCCAGTCTGAGACTGGAGAGTCACTCCTCTTTCTCCCCTCCCCTCCACAGGCCTGAGAATATGCGGTTTCTCCCTCCCCTTTCTGCCATGGACCCCCCATTGTGGCTTTTCTGTCAGAGCCTCTGAAACTGGTAGATTAGTCGAGAGCAATGCCCCAGACCCCCACAAGACTGATCAGCCCCTATGGCTCTGATCGGTTGGTGCAGTTAGCGGCTAGGCTTCGGCCAGCACTGTGTGATACCCTGATCTCTGTAGGCGGCCTTGAGTTCCCTGCCCACAGCCTGGTGCTGGCAGGTGCAAGCCCGAGGCTGGGATGCAGGGGCAGGTGGGCTCTGGTTGAAGGCATCAGCCCTTCTACCTTTGCTCAGCTGCTAACCTTTGTGTATGGAGAGAGCGTGGAGCTACAGCCTGGGGAGCTGGGGAACCTTGAAGAGGCGGCCAGAGCCTTGGGGGTGCAGGCCCTGGAAGAGGCATGCAAGCGAGCTCAAAGGGACAAGAACGAAGATGAGCTGCATGGAGGACTGAAGAGGCACCAGGTGTCAGAAGAACTCACGAGGAGTTCTGAGAGAAGACCGGGGGGTCCTGGAGAGAAACAGAGCCCAGAGAAGGATTTTAGGAGTAACAGGAAAGAACAGGAGACGTTACACAAGCGCAGAGCACCCGGAGAGAGCCCTGAGAGGGCAGGGCTAACTAGGAAGATGAGAGCAGAGGAGGCCCTCAGCTCAGCCCCTGGGGGCCACAGGGGAGCAGAAAGGAAGCAAGGAGAGGCCATACAAGGTATAGAGAGCCCTGAGGGCTCTGAGGAGTGTCTTCGTGGGTGCCCTGGTCCCCTTTCCCTACCAGGTTCCCCCCTAACCCCCCTCATTCCCAGGCCCTGGTGGGCTGAGGCCCCTTGGTTGGGAGAGGGCCAACCTGGCCTGTGGAGCATCTTCCTGTGGCCGCCCAGATATGGCATTCCCTCCTCCCTTAGCACCCCCGTCACTGCAGCCTGGCAGGTCTGGCCTCAAGACCAGAGGTGAGTGAAGGGCTTAGTGGAAGGTATCTAGGCTGGGGGGGCTTTAGCTCAGGAGAGGCAGCAGTCATGGGTGGGAGGGAACCACGTCTCCATACGTTTTCTAAGTTAAGGAGACAACAAAATATTCTGATCTTGAGAGAGGCCAGAGCTGGTTAGGTTCTCAGGCTTCGCCAAGGCTGTAATTCTTCTCCACCCAGGATCCCACTGACCTTGAGCCACTCCAAAGGTCTCTGGAGTCAGAATCAGCTGGCCTCCTCTAGCTCCACTCCAGGTAAGCCCCTCATTGTTCCATCCAGGGCTTCTGCACAGCAGCTGGGCTCCATGGTTCAGGCCTTAGCAGGGCCCCTACTTAACCCTACTTGCAGGATCCTTTCCCCAGGGCCCTGAACAACTCAGCCCTTGGGAGACAAAAGAGTCTGGGTAAGGGTACACAGTAAGCAGGGCGAGAGAACTGCTACCTCAGGGTCACCAAAGCTCTCAATTTCTTGCCTGGATGTATTGACTCAATTCAGGGATTCTGGTCATGCCATCTTGACTTCTCTGTCCACACAGGCACACTGGCAACCTGTGTGGGTCAAGAATGCACACTGAGCTGTCCATCTCACCAACACTCTGCTTTACCCCTTCCTGCTCGCTCCCGGCCCTATTCTTGCTCTGTCTGTGGAAAGAGGTTTTCACTCAAGCACCAGAGACGCATTACCGAGTCCACACAGGTATGGGCATACTGCCCAGTGTGAATTTGTCTTTTTTGTTCCCATCGCTGGGCTGCCAGTTCCTCCCTTGCCCCATTGCTCGACACACCCCTTAGCTTGGCCAACCTTCGCCCATTTCTTCCTTCTCTGGCTTTCTCCTCCACCTGTAGGAGAGAAGCCCTTCTCCTGTAGCCTCTGCCCTCAGCGCTCCCGGGATTTCTCTGCCATGACCAAGCACCTGGGGTCACATGGGGCCGCTCCCTATCGCTGCCCTCTGTGCAGGGCTGGCTGCCCCAGCCTGGCTTCCATGCATGCTCACATGCGTGGCCATTCGCCCAGCCAGCTGCCGCCTGGATGGACCATACGCTCCACCTTTCTCTACTCTTCCTCGAGGCCGACACGGGCCTCCGTCCCTCCCGGGAGTCCTGCCTCCTCCTCTGCCACCTGGGGGGGTGTTGGCAGCTTCTCTGGCTTTGACAAGCGTCCACCCAAAGAATGAAAGGCATGCGGGCTCAGCCGGCCTGTGCCTAGGGCTGCCTGGCAAACTTGACTGCAGAAGCGCTGCTCTGCGCTGTGGGACAGGAGCCACGAACCCTGCTGACGAGTCCCAGTGAAAGACGAGTCCCAGTGAAAGACGCTCTGAGTTGGCTGGAGTGGACATGGACTGGGGACTGTCAGCGTCACCACTATAATAAAGTTTCTGTGTTCCCCGTCAGGATGAGTCGAGACTTTTCGTCTGCGCGGGGGAGTGGGAAGTGTGTGTGTGTGTGGTGTGTATGTGTGTATATGTGTGTGTGTGATGTGTGTGGTGTGTATATGTGTGTGTGTGATGTGTGTGGTGTGTATATGTGTGTGTGTGATGTGTGTGGTGTGTATATGTGTGTGTGTGGTGTGTAGATGTGTGGTGTGATGTGTGTGATGTTTGTGGTGTGTGTGATGTGTATATGTGTGTGTGTATGATGTGTGGTGTGTATGTGTTGTGTGTATATGCGTGTGGTGTATGCTGTGTGGTGCGTATGTGATGTGTGTGATGTGTGTGGTGTGTATATGTGTCTGGTGTGTGTGTATGATGTGTGATGTGTATGTGTGTTGTGTGTGTTGTGTGTATATGTGTGTGTATGTGTGGTGTGTGTGTTGTGTGTATATGCGTGTGGTGTATGCTGTGTGTTGTGTATGATGTGTGTGTTGTGTGTGTTGTGTGTATATGCGCGTGGTGTATGATGTGTGATGTGTATGATGTGTGTGTTGTGTGTGTTGTGTGTATATGTGTGTGTATGTGTGGTGTGTGTGTTGTGTGTATATGCGTGTGGTGTATGCTGTGTGTTGTGTATGATGTGTGTGTTGTGTGTGTTGTGTGTATATGTGTCTGGTGTGTATGATGTGTGATGTGTATGATGTGTGTGATGTGTGTGTTGTGTGTGTTGTGTGTATATGTTGTTTGTGTGTGCGGTGTTTGTGTTTGTAGTGTGTGTGCGGTGTTTTTTTGTAGTGTATGTGTGCTGTGTGTTTGTTGATTATGTAGTGTATTTGTGTAGTGTTTGTGTGTGTTGTGTGTGTTGGGTGTATGTAGTTTAGTTTGTATGTGTGGTGTGTGTGTGTGCGGTGTGTTTACTGTAGGGTATGTATGCGG